GTGGCTGATTTGGGGGGGGGGGGGGATTGGGTTTGATTTGGAAGGAAATAATTAAGCAAGAGAGAGGAAGAGGGGCCGGCCATATGGGGGGAAAAGATTAGGTGTCTAGGTTCAATGTATGGGAGCCCACGGATTCAATTAAGGATTTAAATCAAATCTGAATTTTAATTTCAGATTTCATTGAATGAGGGAGTTTCCTAATCGGCATTGATTAATAAAGAAGGTATTTGAAATTCAAATATTTATTTGAATTCAAAACAAACCTTTCCATATTAATAGCACATTAAATTAAGAAAGTAATTATGGTTAGTTTGAATTTTGAAATTCAAACGAAGAACAAGAGGGGGCTGACGGTTTGGAGAGCTTGTTGGGGCGGTATGGGGTAGGTGGGGGAAGAGGAGAAGAAGAAGAAGATAAAGTAAAAGCCACGAGTCGCGGACTCTTCCAACGACTGGTTGGTGTTGCGCTTGCTCACCTTGAGCTCACTCTCCCTTCTCTCTAGCTCTCATGCAAGAAGAAGAAGAAGCAAATAAAATTTCATTAATTATTCTTCAAGAAAATTATAACACATTAGACCACTATATATAGGTCTCCAAACATGAAAAGTAAAAGTACGAAATTGCCCTCTCGGCTACAATAACAAGACAGTTCCCCAAAGGGGTAAATACGAAAAATAATAAATAACTAAATAAACATAACATTAAAATGTATCAAAAGTAGAGGCGCTGAATCGTGGCCTTAGATTTGCGATTTCTTCGTCGATAAACATGTCGGTAGCATCTGTCGATGTTCTCATCAGATAGGCTCCTACATGATACATGAAAACATATAACAACTATCTTGCCAAGTCTTAAATTACTAGCTTCATGTTATTATTATTATTTTTCAAGCATCAAAATGAACAAGTTGCTGTGTCATGAATTTGAATGATGACTAGTAGTTTTGTGGTGAATTTGAATGATGACTAGTACTTTGGTGGAAGACTGTTCGCTTTCATCCTATGGTTCAACGTGCTGAATCTCTTAACTTGCAATAATTTCTTGAAAAATGAAGAATAAAATTGAGGAATTCAAGTTGAAGATAACAAGAAAAACTTAACATGCACATCTTGACAAGATTAGAGAGAGTCGCCTTAAATGGTTTGGTCACATTAAACAAAGGCCTTCCGATGACCCTGCTAGGAAAGTTGAGGTATTAGATTTGACTTATGTTAAGAAAGATAGAGGTAGACCTAAAAAGACTTGGTTAGAAAATATTAAAAACGATCTTTCTTTATTAGATTTAAATGATAATTTGACTTTTAACAGGACACAATGACGAAAAAGGATTCATGTAGCCGACCCCACGTAGTGGGACAAAGGCTTGATGTTGTTGTTGTTGTTGTTGCATGTCTTGATAAGATGCAGTAGTCGTGGAGCAACCCTGAGTGGGTTGATTTTGCTATTCATTTTCCAATTAATGAGGTGAGATTACAGAATCAAATGAAATTAGATGAAGCTAACAACGCCCAATTATCTTGCTAACTTCCATTTTTTTACTGTTATGAAGGAATTAGGTTTCGTTTGGGATGGCTTTCTTCCTGTTTCATGAAGCAGTTTTTTAGTACAAAAATTAAAACTTTTGCACAAAAAAACTGCTTTAAGAAATAGTAAGAAAGTCATCCCAAATGAAGCCTTAGTCTCGATTTGCATGTGCTCTTGAACTTCCATCAGAGAATTGGATGTTTCTTCAAACATTCACAGAAAAATCATTGTGCTTTTATATTATTCTGCAGTTTAGCGGCAAAAGAGTGGGAATTATTGGACTGGGCAGGATTGGCTTAGGAATTGCCAAGAGAGCTGAAGCTTTTAACTGCACTATCAGCTACCATTCAAGAACTGAGAAGCCAAACACAAACTACAAATACTATCCAAATCTCATTAACCTGGCAACAAACTCTGATGTGCTTTTTGTAGCCTGTGCTCTCACAGAGGACACTTACCACATCATAAACAGAGACGTTATTGATGCATTGGGCCCTAAGGGTGTCCTTGTGAACATCGCCCGCGGATCTCATGTAGACGAGCCTGAGCTTGTTAAGGCACTTGTCGAAGGCCGATTGGGAGGGGCGGGGCTCGACGTATTTGAGAACGAACCTGAAGTACCGGAGGAGCTTATCGGGCTTGACAATGTGGTGCTGTTGCCTCATGTAGGAAGCGGCACAGTGGAGACTCGCAAGGAAATGGCCAACCTTGTTCTTGCCAATTTGGAGGCTCATGTGCAGAAGAAGCCTCTACTGACTCCAGTGGTGTGATCTTCCTCAAGCGCCTCCTATTTCAAGTAAATCAAATCATTTTTGCTTTAAATAACTGGTTGGTTGATTTCCATTACTGCAGTTCGAACTTCATATTTTGCCTCTTCATAACCAACTTTTCTGCATAATCTGTACAAAGACAGAGGCTTCGTTTGGGAAGGCTTTCTTGTTGCTTCTTAAAACAATTTTTTAGTGCAAAAATTAAAATTTTTATATTAAAAAGTTGCTTTAAGAAACAATAAAAAAGCCGTCCCAAACGAAACCAGAAACTGAGTTCCCTGGCCTTGCAATATTCTTTATGGTGTACTGATTGGGCATTTTGTTTACCTTGTGAACTATATAAAGCTTAATATCTTTGTTTTCATTCGGTGGCCTTCTTCCTTAATAATTGCATCATCATAGAAACTTCTAGAAGATGCATTTGACAACCAACTTTTTGAGCTGAGCAAGCCCTGCTTAGATGCTGTTGATCAGATGATTTATAGCTAGAATGGCTTCATTGAATCAATTTGATTTTTTGGTTGGTTTATTCTGACTCCATTCCACTTGGAATTTAGCATAAATCTGAGATTATGAACATATTGTAATATATATTATAAGAATTGTGATCACAATAAATTAGTGTAATATCATTTAATTTAATGTTTAAATTCAATATGATATTGTTGATTATGATCTACAATATAAGAATTACATGCAGATGATGTTTTGTCAATTTTAATTTTAATATAAATCATTCATCAGGCATGTGAAAAGTAGAAAGATGATCATTAAAATTATTCGAGACATGATAAATACTATTCTACATTCCATATGTTTTATTCAAAGCCATTTGAAGGTCTTGCTACTCTGATTATTATCACGGAATTATATCCATTACAACAACAACAACAATATAAGCCTTTATTCTACCATTCTACTATGTGGGGCTGATTATATGAATCTATTTTCTACATTGTGTTTTGTTAAGAGTCAGATTTTCATTTACATCTCATAAAAAAAAGGGTGACTTCTAATACTTTCTAATTAAGTCTTTTTACGTACACATTTACTTTTCTTAAAATAGGCCAAACATAATACATTTACTCTTCTAATTAGGCATATGAAGGTCGACATTTTATTCGACTAAATCATCTAACGCGACTCTCTCTAATCTTATTTATCACTAGAGTTTTTCTAACCTTTTACTTATATACTTGTTTCACATTCTCTTTCTAAGAGTGAAGATGTTCATCAACCTGAGCATCATCATCTCTACAACACTTAACTTAATTTTATGCATCTTTTTTAATGATTAACTTTCTGCGCCATAAAGCATTGTAGGTCTTACCACCATTTTATAGAATTTTCCTTGAATGTGAGGGATATTTTTCTATCACATAATATGTAATGCCCTAGAATCAAATTTGACAATTATCTATTTTATCTTTTTAAATGATCAACTAGAGCTTCTATAAATCATCAAAATAATAAATTCATATCTAGTGAAAAAACTAACAAGTGCATACTTTAAAATATTGCATTATATTCATTCTCTCAAAAGAAAACCTAAGAAATCTCACTCTACTTAATCCTAGGCTCTTTTATGATTTGAAATCATTAAAATTCACATAATGAGCTAAAAAGCTCAACAATAATTCATACCCACCAAAACTTTTACCGCAAGAACAAAAAAATCAATATGAAATGCCCAGTTTATTAAATCAATATCAATCAATATTGTCAATTACCAATTATCATCAATAAAATTAAGAATGATCAATAATAAAAGCATGGAGTCATAATATAGAAATCAATAACATATATAAAATTCAATAAATTAGAAATAAAGATTCAAAAATCATTCATAAATTACTGAAGGAATCTATCTCAGCTATTCATGTACTACTATGCATCCAATACTATATATTGTCAATATATATGTCAACGCTATCAATACTATCAATATATGAATGTATCAATGTATGATTTGGTAAGGCAAAATATTCAACTTTAATATGATATCTTTATTCTTTCATATGTATTTATTTCATCATTATCATCTTTATGATTAAGAGTCGTTACCCTCTGCTCGTCGATATAATTAGTCATCAATTACAAGCTACATCCAGGATTGCACCACAAATCATCTCTAAAGGAAAGCCCGTCGGCCCACTCTTCCGCGCAGGGTATTATATTTTAATAGCTAAACCATTTTTTAGTGTTAACAACCAGCCTTTCTTACTTTAATTGCCAATTTTTTTTTTTTTTATAATGAAACGTTGAGAGCGTGCGTACAAATTTAATGAACCAATAGAATATGAACAAAAACTAAATTAATTGCATCTATATAGACCATATCGTATGGCTGTTGAGGAGCACATGGCCACTTGTCCTGTAGCAACCATCCGAGCTTTTCACGACATTTTTCTTGTCATTTAACGCGCTTGCTGCTGCGTTGTTCATATCTGCTGATCGAAAAGCCTTTCAGAAGAAGACAACGCATTGCATCAATATTTTCACGTTATAAGAGAGCATGCATGTGCAGCCATACAGCTTCCAATTCGCGTCCGGAAAAGCTCGCCACGTCGCATAATTTGACAAAGCTGATGTTTGAAAGCTTACCGGTTTTATATACGACTGTAGCTTATTCTTTCAAAATTATATTTAAATCCAGCAAATTGGATTAAAAAAAGAGTAATTTCATATGTCATTTAAGCTTGGTTTGGGACGGCTTTTTTACTGCTTTATAAAACGGAGTTTTAGTACAAATTTTTTTTATTTTTGTACAAAAACTCCGTTTTAGAAAGCAATAAAAAAGCCGTCCCAAACGAAGCCTAAAATTGATTCATTCAATTTAGGATATCTCTGGGACGATTGTAGTTTTTTTTTTTTTTGCAATTTTGATTGTAAAGCTATTAGGGAAAAAGTAATTTTTTAAACAACGGTTGTAAAAAGCAGTTTCTTAATGCAAACTTTTTGAAAAGCATTAAAAAAGTAGCATCGTTTGCCTTTTGCGATAATTTTAGACTACTGTTTCTTCTGTGTTTTCAAGAAAAATTTTAATTAAAAAATAGCTTTATAAAATACTAAGAAAACAATTTCAAATGAAGCCTAAACATAAATTATGATTGCAATATGAAAAGCTAAACAATAATAAAATTGTCACAAATGAAATCTCAATCTTTTAAGTTTAGTGATTTATATTTATAGGCCTGCTCTATTTGCTCCGTTTAATCCAAAATCCTAAATTATGCAAAACAAAAGAAGATGACGAGAAAATAGCAAGAAGAAGGCTAAAATGAGGAGAGTGAATGAGATGAAAATGATAAAAAAATAAACATTTGCTAGTTTATAATAAATATATTTTTATTTAAACAAATCTTAAAATTTTAATCTAATAATAATAATAATCTTAATTTCTTGCATTTTGTGATTTAAAATTTAATGTTTGATGAATTGTATAATATGATGTATGTTAATTGTCCTCCAAACAATCCAACAAACACTCGCAATAATTTCTCCTCAATGTGAATCTCACTAATACACAGCTCATCTTAGCCTCTTGGTTGAGAGCCTATGCTTCCAACTAAGAGGTCTTGGGTTCGAGTCTATGTATATGCGTTGTGTGTAATTTGCTTTAAATGGCCTAAATGTCCAAAAAAAAAAAAAATAAAAAAGAAGAATCTCACTAATTGGAGAGTGGTGGGCGGCGAAGCACCGTCCCCTTATTATAATAATTTGTTTTCAAATGATGTTCTTAGTTCTGTTTCAACACTATATATATGTATATATATCCACGCTTCAACGCCGCCAGCAAACTTCAATCAGAGCTCCCTCTTTCTCGCTCTCCCTCTCACCCCCAGCAGGAAGGATGCTGCGGTTTGCTCGTCGGCTTCTGAGCAACATGCCGGAGAGCACAGTCTACGGTGGCCCGAAGCCGCAGACGGAGGGTCGACGCGTGACTTTGAACCAACTCCGGCTGAAACACCGCCGCGGCGAAGCCATAACCGTCGTCACCGCTTACGATTATCCCTCCGCCGTTCACATCGATCTCGCGGGCATAGATGTTTGCCTCGTCGGAGATTCCGCGTCCATGGTTGTTCACGGTCACGATACAACCCTCCCGATCTCTCTCGACGAGATGCTAGTCCACTGCCGCGCCGTTGCGCGCGGCGCATCTCGCCCTCTCCTAGTTGGCGACCTACCCTTCGGATCCTACGAGTCCTCATCCTCCCAGGTTTAGTAGGTCTTCCTTGATTTTCTGGTTATGATTTCTTTTGGATGTGGTTTCACTCTGCTTGAGTTGGGGTATTGCAGGCGGTTAATACGGCGGTTAGGGTTTTGAAAGAAGGGGGGATGGACGCGATCAAGCTCGAAGGAGGTGCGCCGTCGAGGATATCGGCTGCTAAGGCCATTGTGGAGGCGGGAATCGCGGTTATGGGTCATGTTGGGTTAACTCCTCAAGCGATTAGCGTTCTGGGTGGATTCAGGCCACAGGGGAAGACCGTTTGCAGTGCCGTAAAGGTTTTTTTTTTTCTTGTTCTTTACTTTTTGTTTGTTTTTGGAAATTGCATTGCAGTATTATCTGCATCAATGGCTGATATGGTTGGTAATGGAGCAGTACAATCTGAAAATCCAGGGAGATACTCTCTTTTGCACTCTTCAAATCATTATTTTCATTTAAAAAGATGCGATGCGGGGACGTATACATATTTTTTTTACTTCCTGTATATGCAATATTCTTATATATGACATTTGCCTAAATTTTGAAAGGAACAGTTCTTTTTAAATTATATTAGGAATATTAATACAGACAAGAAAAAAATTGAGATGGTCTTTCAGCAGGGCTGACTAGCCCTAGTTGCTTGGTGACTGGGGAGGGGAACTCATTCGTCACACAGTCAGCCCCGAAGTCATTTCACTCGGTGGGACCCCTTGCCTTGTGTGTATCTTTGAGTTGAGTTTGAGCAAACTAAAATTTGCTTGAACTTTAAATGGTTGAGTGTTAACTCAAATTCAAATTGAAATCATAATGCATTACCAAGTTTTATGAGCTATAATATATATTATTTAATCAAATTTAGCACATTAATATTTATATTTTACAATTTTTGTTATCCAATCATATATCATAAATTATGATCGATTGAAATCCTCTGATATATTAAGTTGTTCATCAAATAGAAGGATCATTATGCTACTTGTCTACTCATTCTATCAAACTAATCATGTTAATTGTATTTTTTAGTTTAGCCAACTCAACTCTCCATAAATTTCATAATTAAATATGGTAAAGAATGGTGAATCTTTAAGAAAGAGGAGAGAGAGAGAGAGAGAGAGAGAGAGAGAGAGAGAGAGAGAGAGAGAATGTTGAGGTAAGGGTATCACCGGTGGAGAGGAATGGGGTAACGATAGAATTTTGTTGAATGTTGCTGTTATTTCCCAGTAATCTGTGACTAGAAGGCCTCTATTGTTTTTAGTTAACCTTAATTAGGTTACTTCTTCTTGTCAAAAAGAACACCTGCTCTTTTGTAAAAAAAATTTCCTGTCACATTTTATATGGGATATGTGCTGAAAACATGTTTTTTTTTTTTGAGTTTGATAAACGTTTTTACAAAACTATTTGAGTTTCTGCTATCTTAATATTTTGGTGGACCAGACAAGTGCAAGATAGCATGACACCAGGATGTTATCTAACAAAACAACCGTAGTTTTAATTTTTCTATTTTTTAGGTGATTGGCTGATGGATGATCGAAAGCTTTTGCAGGTAGTGGAAACTGCGCTTGCGTTGCAGGAAGTTGGGTGCTTCTCGGTTGTGCTGGAGTGTGTACCGGGGCCTGTGGCTGCTGCTACAACTTCTGCATTACAAATCCCAACCATTGGCATTGGAGCAGGACCGTATTGCAGTGGACAGGTTAGGCTCATCCCATAATTCTTATGCGTTGGAACTTTGCATTTGACTCTTATATGTATTGATGTGTTTAATAGTCTATGGGTACTAGTTTCGGGTAAGTATCAAAGCATCCTTTTAGCGTTCTGCTATGTGCATTATGGTTTTTTTTTTTCTCATATTCTCTGTAAAGCTTATTTATGGTGAAACTTTTTTTCAGTTTTATTATTTATGTTTTTTTAATAGAAACTTCATTCTTTGGTAACATTATTGTACCTATTTTGGTCTTTAGCTTGTTGGCAGTTTTAATTTCTTTAAAGAATTATTGTAATATTGACATCATCCATGTTTTCAACGTTTGAAAATGTTCTTTCCATGCATTCAAATTATAGGATAACAACACTATGCGCTAGTCCGGCCCCTCTCTCTCTTGAAATAGAATTTGACTCTTTAATTTTAGTTTGTTGAGTTTTGCTTAATTTAATTGATTTCAGAAATTAATATAACTGGACATGTTAAACTTTTTTGTGTTTTATTAGTTTGTCTATACAATTTAACCCTATTCTTGTACATGATGGAAACTTTATTTTGTTTTAGGGCTCATTTGGTTGCTTGTAGAGGGAAAATATGTTTTAGGAAGTGATGATTTTATTTTTGTTCTTTATTAGTGTGAAACTGAAATCCTCATTTTAGAGAGATTTTGATGGCGGTTATGGAATTTAAAATTCATATTGACTTCTAACTACGTCTAAGTAACCAAATAAGTCACTAAGTAGATTAGACATCACATTGTAGTCCTTGGGAGGTAGCGTTAAAACATGTAAATGGCCTCTCTATTTTCTAGGGTAATGCTTAGATGATCGCTTCTCACAAGATTCAGAGGCAGGATGGTTGTGCACTATGTGGCTCTCCCTTCAGTTTTTGTTAACTTATTTTTATTCATTTAGGACATCTCCAACCGAAAATCTCATTTTTCATTCCAAAATGCATATAACAAAAAAATAGCATGATTTATCTACAATCGAACTCCATTTTGCGCCCAGGTAACCGTCTTTCTCCGCACGTTTCTTCGGCAAATCCTATAGAGACAGAAAAATAGCGCAGGTGAATAGTGCCATGCCAATATTGGCGTCGCACTGTTCACCCGCAACCAAATACCGGAAGTTTTGCCATTCGGTTGGAGCTCGCTAGCGATGCCATTCATGTGTTTGGAGTCGTTTGGAGATGCCCTTAGAGCCATGGTTCTGCCAACAACTGCCCAATGCACATTTTTTAAGGAATTAAAAACGCATTAATACTTCATTAACAACAATAAACATTAGTAAAAGGAGAAGGATATAAACTTTTTGCCATTAATCGTTATCATTTGTATGTTTCAAGATTAAACTACTCTCATGCAGGTGCTGGTTTACCATGACTTGTTGGGAATGCTGCAACACCCTCACCATGCAAAGGTTAATATCAATGCATCCATTCTCCTTGTCATTATATATTACATTTCTGGAACTAAATCTTGAATATACTTTGGCCACTTGGCAGGTCACCCCAAAATTTTGCAAGCAATATGGTCGCGTAGGTGATATGATCAATAAATCGCTCTCAGATTTCAAACAAGAAGTTGAGAATAGAATATTTCCTGGTCCTTCCCATACTCCATACAAAATAGGCGAAGATGATGTTGATGGCTTTCTTAAGGAACTGGAGAAATTGGGCTTAAAAGAGGCAGCTGCTGCAGCAGCCTCAGCTGTCGAGAACTTGGAGAAAATTGGGAGGTCATCAATGGAGACTCCAGCTCGCTGAGTTGCTTACTTAGCAAACAGGTTTCCTTGCCCTTCTTCCATATTTCCCTCTTTTAATTTCATTACAAAATAACTGCTTTGAGAAGTCTTCAAGATTCTAGTAGGAAGAATTCATATTTATTGCTTCTAATAATAGCAAAATTACTGACTTCTAAATGAAGTGAATGACTGGAGGCATCTAATAACAAGAGAGGTTATTACGTGCGGAGTCTGGACGTGTTTAGAGGTCAATTTGGATGCGCCACGTCATCCAATACACTGTGTATTAGGTGAGATGGCGCGTCCGAATTGACCTCTGGATACATTTGAATACCGCATGTAATAATTTTTCTATTAACAGACACTGGGAGTGTGGTAATGGACAGAGTTCTCAAAATTCATTACGGGGTTTAGCTGCTGGAAGGAATCACTTCTGTATTGCCATGCATCGACAGGTAAGATAGTCTAATTCTTCTAGAAAGTATATGTAAATATTCAGTTTTCTCGTTGCAGATTCAGCAGTGTAATTTAGGATATGTTTTTGACAGTTTTTTATCTTTAATTTGTTTTATGGGTTTTAAAAAATGATTATTAATGCAAAGATAAAGTTACGTCCAGAATAGTTATAATAAATTAATAATGCCATCTATCTTTTTCAACTAGCTACAACATAGAACCTAATAGTTTGTTTGAGACAACTTTTTTTTTATTATTTTCTACTTTAAAAATTTTTAAACAAAAAAATATATTAAAAAATGAGAAAACTTTCTTATTATTTTCTACTATTAAATTTTTTTAAACAAAAAAAAAATTATATTAAAAAATTGATTTACTAGACCTAAAACGCTCCATGGTTGGAGCGTTGGCATGTTTCTCAAAAGCATCAATAAAATACAAAGTAACGGATTTGAAAATTTCTTTTTGATAGGGTATGTTAACTGTAAGTCATCTTATGGGTATTTTATGAAACTTGATTTTTGCAGCTTATGATTATTGCCTCTTATTAGGATTTAAAATTAATCATAATAATCTCTTATGAATTAAATCAAGATTAATTTTGCATAATTTATGAATTAGATTGAAATTAGCTTTGTATCACAATCATAATAAGAGTATTTTAGATAAATTTTATATAATCTAGATATTAAATTAGAACAACAAAATGCTCAGTAAGTAAATTGTTTACCAATGAATTGTTTGGAGGCTCTTTGTACTTAAATTTATTATCTCTTCTAATTGTTAAAAAGCAGCACAGTTTGGGACAGCTTTTGAACTATTTTTTAATAAAAAATTTTAAATTCAAAAAAAATTTATAATAAAAAATTGTTTTAAAAAATAAGAAAAAAGCCATCCCAAATAAACTTCGAGGAAAACTATCCTTTAAAAATGTTATTATTATTATTATTATTATTGATACAACCTTAGAAAGCAACCCATATTTGACTTTGACAATCTAATTATCAAGATAATAATGTGCAAGAATGACGATAAAAATGTGCTTAAATAACGCATTAAATTACAACAAAATAAGTAATAAACAAGGACTGCTGAAGAAATTCAGCCTCAACAAGTTTTACACCCAATAGTCAAAAACCCTTCTCCCTGTTTCTAATAAACACAATATATTAGATAATTTCATCTTCATTTTGTTACTATTTTCTGTGATAATATCCTTTGATGAAGCTGGAGAATCATCAGAAGTCCTTCGTGAGCCCTCAACGGTCAAGCTACTCTCACCTGGATCCTCTCTACCACTTGCAGAAAGCATCAGAAATCTATAATTTTCCTCATACATTTTCTCATCTTTCGAGATGGCCTCTACTGCTGAAGAAGGCTGAGCCTAAGAATGCTCGTCAGATCCTGCTTCATCAACGCTACATGTTCTTACAGAGTCTTCAGCATCGAACATCTCATCAGAAGCTTCATCTGATTCATTACTGATATCTCCAGCACTATTTATGCTTCTTCCATCACCTTCAGGATGCTCTGAATCTGTGGCATCCATGATGGAATTCGCACCAGGTTCTCTTGTTTCTTCAGATACATTTCTCTCTGTATTTTGTGTATCGCTTGGATATTCAGATTCAACATTTTGTAGGACTGAAGAATCAGTAATTGTACCAATCTGTGAATCAGTTCTCTCAACATGTTTATCAAATGTTGGAGCAGAAGGATTTTCAGCAGGTAAAGATTGAAATGCATCCCATTCATCATCATCATCATCATCATCATTTTTGTCAACACCTGCATCCTGTTCTTCATGCTTAAGAGTTTGGGCTTGGTTAGCTGCTCTTGCTTTTATGTCTGATTCAATGTTTATTTTTGTGGTCATAGTTTGATCTTGGGCGGCTACTGAAGCTCGAATCATATCCTAAAATTTAAGCATAAGAACTTCAGATCTGTACAAAATAATGAACTGACAAAAAGGGGAAAACAAATACATACAATAAGCTCAGATATCAAATTAGAAACGAAAAAGTATAATTTCTTAAGAATTTACCTGAAGTTGTTGTCTACGAAATCCTGGCATTGAGAGCATCACATCCTTCAGTTGAGTGGCAGATGATGGAATGTGGATCAAATGGCCGACCAGTCTTCTTGCCATGGCGTTGACATCTTGAAATCTCTGCAACAATAATGGATCAGAAAGGATTGATATTTGACATAGCACCTAAAAAAATTATAACGGATACATATTTTAAGCTCAGATCACCTGTGAATGAGTTTCACTTGAAATATTAAAAACCATAATTAGGGCCTCTAAAAGCAGTTTTAGTATTGCTTGTGGCTGCTCAGTTCTTTGTGCTACTGTATGAAAGAGGAATAGTAGCCTCAAGCACTCCTCAATTACAGTAATGCTTTCCTTGTTTACTGATTCCTGCATAAGAGTATTAAATTACTCATCATTTGGAACTTGACAGGAGAGATTTGTAAGTCAATTACCTTCAACTCTTGTTGGATTAGAATATAAATATCTCCAAGGACTTCACCACTGAAGAACAAGAAAAATTGATTGCTCTTAATGTTTGAGGGTTCAGCAAGTTCTCTTTGACCAACAATTTTAAGAAAATTTAGTCCAATTGCCTGAACCTGCAAGTTCAGAGTTATAAAATGTTTATTACCATTTTGTTGACGCTTAAAACATTTGTAAAGGTTTAAATCACCGGACAAGCTTCAAAATACCTGTCTATTGCTATCACATAAAGCATTCTGGATGCATCTAGTACACAATCGAAATATTGAAAATAATATCAGTTGGTATCTTTCTTCGTTATTTCTGAAGATTTGTGTTTGATAAGCTAATTTAGCAACAGCAGCAGCTTCTTCTAGGCATAAAGATAGCATTTTCCCAAGAAGCTTGCTCAAGTCATCCAGCTTATTATCTAAAGTGTGGATCCTTTTTGTGCAGTCTGCAGAGAGAGATACTAACAGACTTGCCCACGTCAGAAGAACCGTTCTTAAATGGGTAATATCTTCCATGTCACGCCCTGCTTCATCTGCTAGAAAGAATTCACATGGTTCCTCAGGAAAGGTTATTACAAGAAAAAATTATGGGCCAGAAGAAATCTTCTAAAAGTTAAAGTAAGATTTTACCAGAATGACTGAAACGTTGTGTAAATAAGATATTATAAACAAATATAAAGCAAGATTAGTAAATAAAATAAAATTCAGCATAAAATATTAGGATACCTTAAATGCTTAAAGAGCCTTGCCTAAATCAATAGGTTCTTCTAACTAGAACGTATAAGTACAACAGAAATTTTCCAAAAAAAAAGCCACCTAGATTTCAATTTCTTGACTGTTTCTATTGCTGTTTGAATATACCGCACAAACACTATTTCCTCATTAAAATTTGATCATTCATAATATGAAGAAAATTTTAATATTTATTACAAAAATTAGTTATTCATATCAATGAGATGAGGAATTAATAGCTGGCACAAACCTTTAACACGTGCCTTAATTCATAGAATGCCTGGTTAAAAATTGAAGAAACAATGCATGCTAACACATGTAAGCGATTTTTCTCAACATGAAAATGTCTTCTTCAATGGTATAAGTAATCTTTATAATATTTTGTCCTATGATTAGGTACTGATCATTACTAGAACATCATTGAAGAAAACATATCTCAACTTGAAAGAAGCTGGATACCCTAGCAAGAGCATTTTCCCCTCATTTTATTGCGTTTTCCTTTCAGTCAAAAATCAAATTAAGGTTTTGTTTGGGACGGCTTTCCTATTGCTTTTTAAAGCAGTTTTTTAGTACACAAATTTTAATTTTTATACTAACAAGCTATTTTAAAAAGTAGTAAGAAAGCCATCCCAGACGGAGCCTAAGTTTATATTCACATGAAGGGAAATGAAGCTGCGATGAAACTAAGATGCTAAACAATACACATACCTATTATGTAGCTCTTCAAAAAGGTCGCGAGGTTATGGAGAAATGCAAGAACTTTGAACAAACATAGCTTGGTTGATGCTTCTCTAAACCACTCGCATGTTGTTGACATTAAGGCTGTTATCATCCTTTCTTGATTCTTCTGCACAACTATACCCATTTAGTCCACAAGAGAGACCACAAAACACTCTAGGACCAATCAAGAAAGCAAACCCTAAACTGAATGCCTTAACTAAAATCATCAATAAATTAACACCCAACACCAAGATATAAGAAAGGAATTCATGAAATGTACTTGCACATGATGTTATAAAGCACACCTTATTGTTCATCCGCCTTACTAATCTTTCAGCACACGCATATAATTGAGAAAAAAATCCTGTGAAACTTGCTTCATCTTTTGCAAAGACGTTATTACTGTAGCAAAAGAGATACATGGATAAATATAGATGTATTAAAGGGTGCTTACATGTGTAAGCATAATGCATCTGCTGCATGACAAAACTCTGCTGGTATATATCAGCATAACTACCTATGAAACGTTGATAAGCATTTGAAAAACAATTCCATAGCTGCAGCTGTGAAATCTTCTGTCTCAAAGTAGACATCAGGGGAAAACTGTGCAATCTGTCACAAGAAATAAAAAAACTCAAAAGTATATAAATCACCATGAAAAAGAGTCCAGAATAACAGAGTATTGATTGGACATTTTGATTAGAGAAAGAGTGCCTAGATATGTATGCGCTACCTCAAGGGACAAGTAAATTCTTATTTTGGCACAACCATCACAAGTATCATGGGTGCCCACAAGATGCGTTATTAGTTGATTGTTGATTGAATTAGCTGAACATTTTACAGAATGGAACTTTGTTCACCCACAACCATTTCATAAAAATAAATTAAATGAAAATGACAAAAATTTAATAAAAATAAATTATTATTTATGTACTTTGCTATTAATTATCTTAGCATAGCCAAAATAGATTTTGCTAGAGCGAAATAATATTGATTCTCTACAGTTGATGTAATTTTTCTAAGCCTATGTGCAATAATAAGTAGAATGAGTAAACAATATGGTAGAATATCACTTATTTATAAATGATCATCATCATCATCACCAACTTTGTCTCAATTAATTAGTGTCATTTGTATGGATACTCATTGTTCATTCATTCCTATCATGTGTTAAATAAGATTTTAAATCCTATTTTGCATAAATTTTATTTGTCAACTAACAATGCTACCTTTAGCGCAAGGTTTAAAAAGATGAATCGAAAAATTGGATGTTTCGATCGAGTCGTGAGACCCAAACTAAAAAAAAAAAAACTCATAAATTTAAAAATTCATAATTATGCCATAAACTGTGTACAAATAGTTTTAAAAAAATTACCAACATAAACCATAAAGGAAAATAAAAACAAACCAATTAAGATAAAATGAAAAGAAAATTTAGTTAAAAAGATAATAAAACAGCTAAAAAAGAAAATGAAAAAAGAAAAATAAAACTCAATCAAGTAAATAGAAAAAAGTTAAAAAAATAATAAAGAATTTAAAAGAAAATATGAAACTTGAATCCACCATTTCCATATTAGTCCAAACTCTATACCTAAAATCTTAAACCCTATTATATATGACATAAAGGTATTTTCTTTTTTTAAGTAAATGTTTACTTAAGGCGTTTTCCACGTGCATCGAGGCATATAGCCTTCAAAGCCCTACATGAGGTCCTGGTTGGGTACCCATGCTTTACTCGATTGGGCTTCGCCCACCCACAACCAACCATGGTGACTTTCGGGATGTTGTAACCACCTATACCTACCCACTTTCCATACTTTTTGAACGCAATCTGCCATGGACTGATGGCCTTGAGGCTTGCTGTCCTTTACTCTGATTGCAAACTTTCAAGCCACATATCATAATTTACCGTAGTCGCAGTGTGGTTAAGTACTGCTCACTACGTAGTGAGGATTGTAGTAATATAAGATATACGGTGATTAGCAATGTAAAGCGATTTATCCCTCGATGTTGAGTACCCACCCATGTAAAACCTTTCGGTTCTGGAACAGAGGCAAGAGAAAGAAGAACAACAGAGATAAGAAGAAAATAAAGACTTGTATTACTACCATACAAAGAGGTGGTACAACTAATATATAGACAAGACATAAGAAAGTGATAGGTAGCTGTCCAATGAAAACATGCCACCTCATTCTTATTTTATGTTAATTACATTGAGCTTATCTACTAATAACCCATACCCACTCACAAGGTCATGAGCATACTCATACCCACCCATGAGTACATGGGTGGGTGTTTGTATGGGTACCCAATGCAAGGCTCTGATAGCCTTGACGCGTACATCTCAAATGAAAAAGGCATAAACTTCACTTAGACCAGAATATCATAAGCCTCGAGGAACTGCTAGGCACCTTATTATGAGGTGCACCTTGAGGCGAGCACCTCTCGCATGCCTTTTTAAACAAGGCTTTAATTTATCTTTTATTATTATTTTTATTCCTGAAACATTAATTTATTTATGAGACTTCTTGGTGAAATTTTCAACTCCTGTTAAATATATGCCATAACTGCCATAGAACCCATGATGAGGGCATCAGATTTCGACACGTGTACCATCGCCGGGGACGCCGATCGACGGTCTTGATTCAGAGCCTTTATTTTTTATGCTTTAGTTTTCTTTTCATGATTTTTATTTCACGTTTTCCTTTTGTACCCCTATGAGGGAAGTAATACTTATTGTAGCCCAAGGGCGTTTTCGTCTTTATGCATTTTATTTTTGTCAGCCTATATAAAGGGCTTTTGTCATTGTATTTGGATTATTGAATGAATGAAAATTTTTCCATGCTTTGTTCTCTTTGTGAGTGCATGAAGTTCTCTTGGTGAGTGCTTCCATTGAGATCTCTTAGTGACAACCCGTCGCCCACCATCCCTCCTCCTTCGAGATTTATTTGCGGCGACCACCCTTTCACCCCTTCAAGGATGCATGGAGGTTCCCGAGTGGAATTTCGGGTTTGAATACGACAACCGCGGACGAGTGAACATCCTCCGATCTCCCTTCTTCGACGTCGGATTCGACTTCGACGACACCGTTGAGGATTATTTGGACCGGATCCTACCCGCTCTAGTGGAATCCATCGACGATCATTTTTCTGTCTACACGTGGATCGTTGAAGGGCGTCGCTTTGCACCACCTCCACGACCTAGAAGTAGGTAAATGAGAGCGGCCTCAAGGTGAGACAATCGCTTTGTTAACCGCAGGATTCTAGTTGGCTTTTCATTTGCTTTACTTTTATCACAGTTGTTATTTTCTTGGTCTTGCTAATTTAGGTGTAAGCTCTTGCCTAGCCATAGTCAAAGTCTAAGATCTCCAAAAAGTTTCAATTGAGAACAAAATTAAGCTTGCAATTTCATCACTTGAACAATATTTTATTAAGTTTCTAAATTCAATTTCTGGTTTTACATCAACCCAAATAATAGGAGACCACAAAAAGAGACAACCACAAAACAAGCTAGAGAAATCCTGATATATTCTTTGGGAGAAGTGAAATCAATTTGGTTGAATGTAAGTGATTTTGTAGAAAAATCATCTATATCAATTTGAAGCAGGAAGTGATAATTCTGGTAGAAATTAAGACCCTTTGGTAAAATATAATATGAACCCGTCCGTGCCTAAAAACAGTACTTACTGATTAATTGATAAGTGATCATTATGTCTTGGCCCATCATGGGGCCATTTGGTTTGCGACAAAACATTTGCTCTGTAAATCAAACTCCAACGTAAAAGAACTAAAAAACAGTTTTGAGATATCACGAGCTTAAAAATTCATTTGGTATACGGTACATCCCCTACAACTAGCCTTGAACTCTTAATTATGTAGAACATGCAAACAAATAAACTAAAACTCATATGGAATATGAAAGTAAAACCCTTCAGATTTTGTGCAAGAAACCATTTTAAACGGTTTTAGCATGTCCTTAACAACTAAATCAGAGAAAATATCCAACAAGACATCTAAAACAAAGCAAATGGCCATCAGTTTGCTTTACCTGTGAGAGTAAACCAACAACCAGATTAGTCCATGAACTAGATGAAGGTTCAGCATAGATGAGAATCTGCATCCAGAGTAATAAATTGTAATATAAAAAAAAAAAAAGTACATGTAATATACTTTGGATCCAATAGAAATTTTAAGTGCATATAAATTAGCTCTAAATAACAATGAAGAATATAGACAAAACTGCACATGTAACAAGGATAACCACAATATTATGGCAGACATACGCTCTTTTATAAATCAATGTTATAATGAGAATTAGCATCATATTTGTCAAAATATAAATATACGCTTATTTCTGTTAACTTTAACTACGTGGAATGCTATTGAAGGAAAATGAGCACTAAGTGTCAAAACCAATGTTTCTAGATTTATCTCCAAGCTGCTAAATGACAAATGAGGCACACTTGAATCATCTTGTACATTAACTTTCAAATTGGATCGTAGATATTTTCATAGTGGCTAGTTGTTGCTGCCAATTATAGGAGGGATTGCATTCCTCTTTGGGATATAATGTTATTAACACCTCAATTCCAAAGTGTTGAATCACACAGCAAGGAGGGGATAGGTCAGCAATCCGTTGGCTGCAGTTGGAGATTTCCCCTTCTGATTCCAAGATCCATGGATATAATTATTAGAATCAATTAGATTAAATGATTTTCCTCTTATATTTATTATAATTAATTAGATTAAATGTCTTTATATATATATATATATATATATATATATATGTAATGATTCCAAGAAATAAATTTTTGAATTCAATTTCTCCTAGACAATTTCTTTATGGTATCAGAGCTTAGGAAAATCCTAAGCCTTATCTGAGTGCCGGCAGCAAACCTTTCTCTCTTTCTTCCAACCTTTAGCTGGTGGTAACTCTCAATCAACCTGCTGATAGCCTCTCTTCAAGCACTAGTAGCCCTTGCCCAAAATTCATCATCTCTTTTAATCGAGGAAACCAAACCATGTCCATAGATAGCGAGATCTTACCCTCCTACCCAAATATTATCGGTTTAAACACCGAAAATTCTGGATCTGCTGGCAGCTCTTCTTCTCTTCCTCCTCTTATCACGAACCAACAGTTTCCAGAACTTGCTACTAGCATACACGCTCATTCAGGTATAAAATAGTCAAAACTTTGGATTATTGACTCAAGAGCATCAGATCACATGACAGGAAACATTACACTCCTTAATGACTATCAATCTTATCATTCAAATAGAATAGTTAAGGTTGCTGATGGGAGCTCTGCCTCTATTCATATCTATTCACAAGATAGGAGCTAGTTTGACCCAAGATAAAAAAAAGAGTCTTTAATGGCTATTCCCATCAAAAAGAGGTTAAAAATGCTTTTGCCCTACTTTAGGAAGGTATTTAAAACGATGGATGTACCTTTTTTGAAAACAACCCATACTTCACTAGTTCTGAAATTCAAGGATAGAGTGAAGGAGAATTTCAAATTTGGGAGTGAAATTCCTTATCATACAACCAAACAGGGTCAAGTAATAATCAACAATATCACAAGAAATTCAAACAATGAGTATTTTCCAAGGTATATCTCCTTTGTCTCAACCTCCACCCATAAGTCCTAATCAATCCATGCAAAGAGCAACAATTAAGAAACAACAATATGTATACTCAAGGAAAATAAAGAAAAATAAGCATATGCAGAGCAGTGAGACACATCTTGAACCTATCAAATCTCCTTCAATCGATCCAACAACAAGAGAGATTCATACAGAGGAGAAAAATGAGGAAGTTCGAAAGGAGATAAAGTCATCAAATGGCCAAAAAGAATCATGCACCAAGCATCCAATCGAAAACTTACTCTCCTATATATAGTAGATTATAAGACACTTATAAAGTCTTCCTTTCCAATTTGGATGATGTGCAGATTTCGACAAATATTCAGGAAGTTTTGAATCACCAAGGATGGAGACAGGCTGTTAAAGAAGAAATTATGGCCTTGGAGAAAAATCAAATTTGAGAAATTATGAATCTCCCACCAGGAAAGAAAGTTGTGACCTACAAATGGATGTTCACCGTAAAGCATAAGGGGAATGATAGTGTTGAGAGGATGAAAACTAGACTGGTTGTAAGAGAATTCACTCAATCTTATGGAATATACTATCAAGAAACTTTTGCTCATGTTGCAAAGCTCAACACCATTAAGATTTTTCTTTCCTTAGCAGCAAATTTAGATTGGCCTCTACATCAACTAGATATCGAGAATGCAATCTTGAATGGGAACCTGAAAGAAGAAGTCTACATGGAGATTCCAATGGGGATTCAGAAGCCATACAGAAGGGACTAAGTGTATAAACTATTGAAATCCTTGCATGGATTAAAGCAAACTCCTAAAGCATGGTTTGGAAGATTCTCAAAGTATGTAAAAGGCTATAATTTAGACAATGCCAGGCAGAACATACCTTGTTTATGAAGCATTCAGAAAATAACAAGGTAGCAATATTGATTGTATGTGTGGATGCCATCATCTTTACTGGAAATGATATAGATAAAATAAAGAAGATCAAACAAGCTCTGTCCAAGGAGTTTGATGTGAAAGATCTAGGACCACTTAGATACTTTCTTGGTATGGAGGTAGCTTTTTCAATTAAAGGTATATTTGTTTCTCAATGCAAGTATACCTTATAACTACTAAAGGAGATCGGCCTGCTGGGATGCAGACTAGCCAATACACCTATGGATCCTAAGAAGAAACTTGGGATAAAAAAAGCGGGGATTCCAGTAGATAAAGGAAAGATATCAACATCTAGTATGAAATCTTATATACCTCTCCCACACTCGTCCATCTATTGGGTTTGTTGTGAGCTTGGTGAGCCAATATATGAGTAATCATATGAAGAAACACATTGAGGCAGTATATCAAATCTTGAGATATCTCAAGAACACTCCTAGAAAAGAGCTATTATTCAAGAAAAATGAAGATAGAAAATTGATCATTTATTCTGATGCAGATTGGACAAGAAGCTTGGTTGATAGTTGATCAACCATAGGATATTGTTCATTTGTGTGGGGGAACCTAGTGACATGGAGGAGCAAGAAACAATCAATTGTTTCTAGAAGAAGTGCGGAATCTGAACTAAGAGAATTAGCAATTACTATTTGTGAATGTATTTGAATCAAACAAGTATTGATTGAATTGAGAATAAAGATTGACGGCATGATAAAGTTCAAATGTGACAATCTAGCCGCAATCATAATGGCCATGGATCTAACCGCAATCATTATGGCCAAGGATCTAGTACATCACGACAGAACAAAACATGTTACCATTGATATACACTTTATATTTGAGAAAAAGAGAACTTAGAAATTGAAATAGTATATATCCCAACTCATGAATAGCTTGTTGATGTTTTAACAAAGGCATTACCGGGCTCTTACTTGATATGTTTGTTTGCAAGTTAGGATTTTAAAACCTGTACAATCCAACTTGAGAGGAAGTGTTGAATTACACAGCAAGGAGGGGGCCACGGCTTTGACAGGTCAACAATCCGTGGGCTGCAATAGGAGATTTCCCCTTTTGATTCCAAGATCCGTGGGATATAATTATTGAAATTAATTAAATTAAATGACTTTCCTCTTCTATTTATTATAATTAATTAGATTAAATGTCATTCTTTTTCTATTTATTCTCCTAGAATGTATATATATATGTAATGATTTCAAGGAATAAAATTTGAATTCAATTTCCCCTAAACAATTTCTTAACAAAGAAAACCACCTTTTAATTGGATGTGAAAACAATGACTATTTCGGTGTTCTTTGAGAATTTAGACTCAGTTTTGTCCCATGGTATGATAACTGTTAATGCAGCCAAAATGCCATGAACCTACAATCAATTATAACGATTGCAATGAAGATCTCAGGATGAATGCAACCACATATCTTGCGTCTTAACTAATGATTAATTCCATTCCACCACCAATCCAATTTTTTATTGAGGTAATTATATATTTTTTAGTTAGATCAAGACTTTATTGCTACTCGGTAGTTCACGTCACTATAGCATGCATCACGTTACCTCTAATGGATAACACACATCAATGTAGGCATTTTCATTCCACAGATTATGGAATTTGGGCATTTATTTTAGCATTTTGTCATCTTCCATGACAAATGGAGTTTCTAGGGTTTGCACATATCAATGCCATTCTAGACCTCAATAACATCATGCTTAAATTCTCCTATATTTGTTTTGCAGTTTGATTTTCCGAATCCTTCAAAAAGCTCATTTTCCTCAACAACCTGAAAATCACAGAGCGATTGATTATTTCAAATTTCACAATTATTTAATGTTACAGCAACCATGTATCAAATGAAGACTAAATAACTTACAGAAGATCACATGGAAGCTTGAATTCTACCAATGTATTTAAAGATCATATCTTAGAAGTTCACATGAAAGCTTGACTTCTACCAATGTATTTTAAATTTAGAATTATTAGACAAGCTCAAAACATCATATATTGTGGTGCATTATGTTTTAGTTGATTTGAAAGTTCCAACAAGAATCACGTATTAAATAATGCAAATTTCTTCTAACAAAAATACATTAGTGATTCCAAGCTATTCAGACGTAGCGTTGCAGTACACATGGTTATAGCGTTCAGAGAATAAAACATGAAAACTTGCAAGGATGATTCAAAAGTCATGAATTTTTTTTTCAAAAAAAAAAAAAAAGAAGCATTAGAATATAAAAACCCACCTGAAGAAGTTCTTTGCATAAGTCCGATGTGAGAAATTTCAGGCTGAAAAATCTTTCCTGACATTGAGATTGAAATACCGATAACGCAAATTCACCTGATGTCACATCATATGTCTTCTCGAGAACTGAATCACCATCATATTTATTCTTTGCATAGCAAGATGGTGTTTTTGCTTGCGTGGACAAAAGAGGCTGTTTCCCATGAAATAGAATGAGCAATGCCAGTCCCCAAAGAAAATCAAAATCCCAGGATTCCAATCTGACCATGCTGTATCCTGATATAAAAGAAGATTTTTGATATTCTATTGTGCTTCTAGTTTTTGAAGCCTGGTCTTCTTCTAACATCACAGGGATTGCATCAAGAGAAGTTGCTTCCAATATCAATGGCCAGGCTTCATCTAGACAAGCTCGCACTTTGGATGAAACTAATGGCGACTGAATACCATCGAGGAAGGGTTTGAACTTTACAAATGCATAAGAAAAATAAGCGGATATAAGCAGAAAGGAAAAGCCCTCATAAGAAAGTTACAAGTATATTTTTTTCATTCAAAGCTTGTTTTGAGTGTGGATCGCCTTACAGTAAACTTGGAATTCAAGCCAAATCTAATAAAAATATAATCCTTGAGGATGCTAATCCAGTACTGGCCCAAAATAGTTGAGCCACTTGAAAGCAGAGATGCAAGCTGTTGGTATTCATCTGGAACATTGTCTTCCTTTCTAAAGAACTGATACACAAAACTTTTGATGGAGGCATGGGCAGCCAAAAGTCTCACTTTAATCTATCATAAGAGGAAAACAAAATGCTTTAAATACATTTTCTGGGTTTCTGGTAACTATATTATATATACTGGAAGAGAGAGAGAGAGAGAGAGAGAGAGAGAGAGAGACCTTGGATGCAACCCATTCAGCAAATGATGGGTAGCACAAGTCCTTAATTTCATTAAGTGGCCTAGAAATTAATGAGAACATTCGATTAACAGCAACCCGGTCCCCACTAAGGATGCTACTTGTCAGAAGCTGAAATTTGAAGAGTAAAAATGAGGATTTATATTTTTCTTATTTTTTAGATGCTGATATAGAAACTTGAAAATTTGAAAAAAAAAAAATGTTCAACTTGAACCTTGGTAGCTAACTGCAGGCCAGCCTCCAGGAGCAAAGGGCTAGAAGAAGTGCTGATCGCTGATCGTACAGCAGATACTAAGTGAGCCTATAGTCAAGGAAATGGCTGCTTCAGCTACTAAGCAATTTGATATGAACATGAAAATAAAGGGCAAGTCCTGGCGATATGAACTAGTCATTTCAGGAAAAAAGGTATTGAAGATCAACCTGATACTGTTCCAACAGAAGGTGCCCAGGTAGCTCAGGATCTTGAGTTTTTCCGTACTATATAGCAAAAAAAGAAAATTATGATATATTGAAACATTTTGATTTGAGGCTAGAAATAGGGAAGGAAAAAATTGACTTGATTGCAGCATCACAATATGAGGAATCTATGATGCTTAATTAAATATTTAACATGATAGACCACAATTTTACTTCCATTCGACAAGAAAGATAGCATGCAAGAACACGTTTAAATCAATAAGCAAGTGCAAAATGGATTAACAGTTTAAAAACACACGCAATGCATGTAAATTTCAAGCGAGTTATTGTAATCTTTTATTCTCTAGAAAGACTTTGTTTTTGTGATAAAAAATTTGGGTCCCTCTCCCAAATTTTTGATTGCATCAATTGTCAATGGTGGGAATCATGGTGTATCAATAAATAAGAAATATTCTAGATAAGCATGTGCATATGCAACCATACAGTGAACATTAGAACCTTCGTTAACTTGTTACAGATTCAGGCCAAGGTAGGCTGGACCAGCCGGCCCAACAGGCAGTGGAGGAGGGGAAACCTGAAACCAAATCTAGGGAGATTTCGACCTCTCTTGTGGGGCCCAACAAAACAATAAATTATTATGTTAGGAGAGTAATTAGGAGGGAATTAAGGAGGGAAATATCTATTTGAATTAAAATAAGAGAGGGAAATTAATAGGGAAATATCTATTTGAATTAAAATAAGAGAGGGAAATTAATAAGGAAAAAAAGATTAATTTGGGGCTGATTTAAAGGAGATTAATTAGGATATATGATGAGGACATCTACATGAGTCTAGCACGAGGAGACATGCAAGATCTATGGCCATGATCTACTTTTGATTTTTATTATATTTGATGTATTTTGTTTTATGTTTTATGAGTATATTGTATTTCTTTCCATGTATGCCCTTGCTTAAGGGCCTCGTCATGTATTAGCCTTAGGGGCAATTTGGTCTTTGTATTTTTCTTTATTCCTTTGGCTATTTAAGGCCTTCTCCTCTTCATGAGTTTCACCCCATCAAACCCGCCACTTTCCAGCCCCCTCACCGACGGCAAAACCCTTCCCCCCCTCCTTAGGCCGCCGGCCACCTTCCTACCCCAAGTCATGATGATGACATCAATCATCATAATGACTCCTTAATTGAGATCTAGCATTAAATGAGAAAGTAAATGAATTTCGAAATTCAAAATTTGAAATTCAAAAACTTTCCTTATTTGCGAGGTCTAAATAAGGAAGGTTTTCAAACTCAAAATTCAAATGAAACTTAATTTGAGGACTCATTAATTTCCCTCCAATTAGTCGATCTTATTTGGAAATCGCTTAATTCCACTTAATCCCCCTCATCTTCCTCTCTCCATGCCGCCGGCCCTACTAGGGCTTCTCTCCATTTAATTCACATTCAAGGCATTGATTACAATCAATTGGAATTCAAATTCTCCACTTAATTTCCCTTAAAATTAATCAAAACCTGAAATTAATTTCAGGTTTGGATTAAAATCTATTCCTCTCGCTCACCCCAACCCGGAATTCCTCCTACCTTGGCCGAACTCCCCTTCTCCTTGGAAATCCTGCCGGTTTCCTTCCCAAATCCCTTCCAAAGCTCCAGGAAAACTGCTACCCAACATCTCAACTTGCTGTTTGGAAATTCCTGCAGCAGCCCACCGACGTCCAGCCATCCCGGGAGCGACAATTGCTGTCCAGATCTCAGGGACAGCCCTTCTTCCTGTCTAGAAGTTTCCCTGAGCTCAATAGGTTGCTGTCCTGTTGATCACAGCAAACTAGGTGCTGTCTAGCCCTCCAGAACCAGTCCTAGCTGCTGTCCTGAGGAGATCTAGTGTCGTCCAGCCGCCAGAAGAGACTCCCATTGCTGCTGAGTGGTTCCAGAAGTTTGAAGGATGCTGCCCCTTCATTCCAGCCATCGTCATGGCTTCATAACTCCTTATTTTTGGGTAAACTCTTCACTCACTCTCTATCTTCTGAGTTTACTCTACTCGTGGTTATAATTTGATTCACAAAGCGCATGTTTTATCGCCTCCGCTAAACCTAGTATTTGAATGAGTTGTGAGAGAGGCCCTTCATAATACTAATCTTATTGTTAGCATTGGAATTTCTCGTTGAAACCACTAATGTATGCAAAGTAAGACTTAGTTGACTATTTAATGATCTCAACCTCTAGCATGTGTTTAGACCTAAGCTATTTTATCACTTTAATGTTATCTTATCGTTTACATCAATAGAGGATTTTGTTTAACATTGCTCTCTAAAAATTTGCAAGTGCAAACTTCCTTAAGCAAGTCATTTTCACATGATTTGTTTCACATCAAGATATTTTCTAATTAAAAAGGGAAGATATAGGGGCAGAATTAGAGGAGATTAATTAGGAGATATTAACAACCTACCTCAGGTTAGGGAAAAAAGAGATCCACCGCCTAGCTTGGGTAGGATATGGAAAAGAAAAAAAAAGATAACATTCTTCAATCTCCAAAAATTAAACGCAAGAGAGTAAGTAGCTATCTATTTATAGAGTAAGGCTACCTCAAGGATCCCTTTGGAGAAAAAAAAATTACATATAAAATAAGAGGTTAGGATGGTTTGGTTGGTTGAACCACCCAGTCTTGGCAGCATCGCATCATTCAAAAATCATCCAGAGTCAATTATTGGCTATATAAGATTTTTAGCTATTCCAATTTCATGAAAGGTGTTGAAAATGTGATCGAGCCTTTCTTCAAATTCAATTCAGAGGTTAACAAAGGAGCATAGTTTAATTTCTGAAAATATAAGGTGATGGACAAATTTTTCTCTTGTACTTGCATTACATAATCAACTAGTTTGTTTATTAGAAACACAGACCTCTTTTCCTCTTTTTTTTTTTCACGTCTCTCAGCTTTATTACATCCATACCTATATCAACTCGATTGATAACATGCCTAGATGGAAAATCTCCAACACTAGATCATTTTTAGTTACTTCTTTAATTCTTTCCTCTCCTTTGATTGGGTGAATAGCAATAACATTATATGGATTTGAAATCTGCTAGTACCATATCTTTACTCTATATTATCCTGGAGAAAAATAAGTAGCATAGTTTTTCATAATCAGGGTCTCATCAATTCCTTGACTTGTTCCATGTGTAATGCTTAACCTGAAGATAATTTTCATATTTCCTTAATTGTTGAACCATTAATAAAATTCGGTAGAGACCTTACAACTTTTTTAGAATTTACAAGGCTACGGTAATCATCAATTCTTAATTCTCTTCTTAGCGGGATAATCATATTAGAAACAACGCTACGGATATCTGGGATAATTTCTTCTTTGTTTTAATTAGGATTGTATGGTATAAAATAAATGCAAATATTTCTCCAACTACACAAAGATGAGAATGGGCATTGGTTTGACATCATCTCCCTTACCAACTTCTGGATTTTCAGCCCAAACTACAAGGCTGCCATTATCAGAGAGAATCATTTTCAGATCTTCAGCTTATTGAGAAACCGATCAATCTATTTAAGGCTATTATTTAATTTGAAAGTTTTAGCTTTGTTGTCTTTTTAAATTTCGCTTAACTTTTTTGTAATTTTCATTAATTTGCACATTTTTCTTTGGTTTGATAAGGAATTATTCTCCCAGTTTTTCACTTCACCTAATATTTAAGGTAAGGAAAAACCAAGAATCAATGAGTCAAATGAAAAAAGTGTAAACTAAGGCATCCATACCAATGTGGAGACTTCAATGCAGTAGCAACAATAAGCCTTTATCCAACTATATGGGGTCGGCTACATGAATCCTTTTTCATCCTTACCAATCTGAAGATTTTAATAGGAAGAAATACTAATTTGGCATAAAACCAGCGAATTTATCAAGTTAGCATATATAATTACTCGCCTAGCATTAGTTTGAGAGGAAAGTCCTAGTTCAAGTAGCACAGCATATGGATGAGACATATCTCCGAAATGGTTGTGATGAAAAATTATGTACCTATTTAAAAGATTCTATCATGTAGTATGATTATGATACGCCCTAGGGTTCCCAAGTTTGTGTTTGCCCTAATGCTCATTCAAAGAAAAGATTTCTCCTCCAAATCAAGGAAAAAATCAACACAAGAGGGATGAGATGAAGAACCAAAACGATGAAGAACCAAAACCTTTGCATTCAAAATCCAAGGGAAAACAAGATACAATTTGTCCAATTCGAGAAGGATAAGGTCTCCCACTACAAACCCTAGAAAAATAAGAGAAAGAAACTAAGGAGGTTAAGAGAAAACTCAAATCTTGCATAACCCTAGAAATCCCCCCTTAATCCCTACTTATAGCAAGCAAAAGACCAAACCAAACCCACTAGTGGGCTGCCCAAGCTGAACCGCCCAGCTCAGGCCAGACCCGAGCCAAACCGGTCCAGAAATGGACCGGTTCCGCTCAAGCCGACCCCCCGCTCCGCTCCGCGTCAAGTCCCGCGCCCGCGTCGCCTTCGGCAGATCGACCCGCGCGGTCTCCTTCCCGGCCATTGCCGCGTGCTCCGGGGTCGCCGGCACTTCCTCTGCCGGCCGGCGACGGCCCGCACGCCTCCTCCTCTGCCGGTCGGCGGCGGTCCGCATCAGATTACGAAGTAAATAAAAACTCTAAAGAGACACATCCCTGTCGCTTCCATACAGCAATCTTCAGCCACCATACCTGCCAGACTACCAGGACAAAATATATCAGTGTATACTGATGCGTAACAATACTTATTGAATCTATTAATTTTAATAGAAATTGAGACATTTACTTAGGTGAACAGAACCAAGTGCAATAAAATATGCTTACTCTGCCAGGAGCCTATAACGTATTACAGATGAACTCATACTTCCATATATTTAAAAATCATTAAACCAACAGAAACACTGGTGCCTCACATGCAAAAAGGTCATAACGATCTAATATAGAAGCAATGTATATCATGAAGAATTCTCAAAGATATATGTTGATCCATTTTAAAATCGATGTAAAGTTGGAACTACCTTGTCCATAATGCTAGTTAATAGCTCCACACCTATAGACTGCATCCACACAAATTGGCCAGTGCTTATCTAAACATAAACAGGCACGCCACATTATCAAAACAATTTTCTAGAATACTTACAAAAGGATTACTAGAGAAAAAGGTATGGAAGGTACCAAACCTGATAAGAAAGAGAGATGATATCTTGCAGGTGCAGCACTAGCCAATCATTGGAGCTGCTCCCCTTTCCACGCTGATTCCTTGCTAAAATTAGATCAAAATGTGCAGGATTTGCTCCAACTGCTTTTGGTAGATGGCTCAAACACCTAGACAACAAAATTTATCATGAAGGTGCCTTAATTATCAGCATAATAAGTGTGCTGGTACTTCAAACAAGCCTGATGGGGTAGAAAAAATTGAACTCTTCAAAGAATGCCTAATTAACCAATTTAGCATAATACACAAGACATTCAGAAATGATATTTATGGATGCAAAACTATAAGACTACTATGCTAAATGAATAACCAATAGCCTAAATGCAACGCATTGACAAGAAAAAAAAATACAATGGATATGAACAAAACATACTCTGCAGCAAACAGCCTTGTTCGATATCTCAGATGCTTATCTCTATTATTAATAGAATCCTGGATTGACTCCCTTGACGAGCTTGCAATCATGTCTTCATCAACTTTTCCAAAATGCAACTTTGCCTCACCCTCAAATGCACCACTTATGCGTCCGTTTTCATTATTTGCATCATTCTCAGCAGTATTCTTTGTTGATACTGAAAGAACCTGAATAGTTGAGTTACACAGCTAAAATCAACGCAGAGGTTAACAGATGAAAAATATCAATTGTGTCTATTAATATATAACAGATGGAAAACATCTATAATAGGTTAGTCAGTACTATTATGTTGAACATTTGGCAGGTTACACTGCAAAAGTAGCTCTTGATATGATAAACAACCATAATCAGCCTGCATCCTGTTAAACCGGCCCATGCTAGACCGGTCCAGCCGGCCCTAGGCAAAAGGCCGGCTCAGGTTTAGAGGTGGACCAAGTAAGCCCGCAGCCGCCCAAGTAAATTGAGGGGCCCACTAGGGAATCCTGTTAGGAAGGAGGGGCAGCTAAGGCTATAGAGGAATTTGGCTTGTGTTGTTTAATTGTATGCTTTGAGTAGGAAGGGAAAAATTAGTGTTAGGGTTATCTTGATGTTTCTAGCTAATTTTGTATCCTGGTGCTTGGCGTTCTTTGACTCTAGCGGCAACTAGTGATTGGGAGAGATAGATCCTCCTCTCGAATTGAGGATCAATTGTATTTTGATATTTTCCTTTCGTTATCTCTGATTATTGCAATAAATTGCTGTTTTTCTACTTTTTCCTCGGAGTTTTGTGAAAAATTCATGTTGTTTTCCCAAGATTGATAGGTTTTCAGTCGAGATACTCAAGTATTTTCTATTAAATTGGTATCATAATAGTTTTTGGGTTGTTTTCTTGAATTATGGCAGTTGAATATTGATGAGGACATCAGAAGATCAATGATCTACGGCCACGATCTACTTTCGATTATTATTGTATTTGATATATTTTATTTTATGTTTTATGAGTCTATTGTATTTCTTTCCGTTTATGCCCTTGCTTAAAGGCCTCGTCATGTGTTAGCCTTAGGGGCAATTTGGTCTTTGTATTTTCTTTCTTCCATTGGCTATTTAAGGCCTTCTCCTCTTCATGAGGGGATAATGAATGAATATTTGAATGAAAAAAATTTTGTGTGTTTCTTCTTCTTCTTCTTGCATGAGAGCTTGAGAAGGGAGAGAGCTCAAGGGGAGCAAATCGCAAGGCCCACCAGTCGTTGGAAGAGTCCGCGGCTCGTGGTTAGGTTTTCTATCTTCTCCTTCATATTCACCTCCATCTTCCTTCTCCTCCACCTCAAGAAAATCCCTTCCCAACCCTATTTTCCGCCGCCCCCTTGTAAGCCAAGCCGTCGGCCTTCCTTTTGACCGCCGGCCACATCCCCCCCCACCACCTCCACCCAAGCTCCACCACCGGCCACCTCTCTCATCACCCACCTTGTTCTTCAAATTTCAAAAATTCAAATTTGAATGAACTCCAAAATTTCCATAATTGCCAAAGTCCAAATAAGGAAAGAATTGGATTGAATCCAATTCAAATTTCATGGCATGAGGAGTTACTAATTCTCATCCTAGGTGGCATCATCCTAATTGGAAATTGCTTTATTCTCACTAATCTCCCTCTTCTCCTCTCTACATGCCGCCGGCCTCATCAAGGGGGAAATTCATTTAATGCTAGTTTAATGCCATCAATGCCTTGATCCAAAATTCAAATTTCAAAATAACCCCCCTTAATTTCATTCATAATCTGAAATTAATTTCAGATT